GAAAACCTATGTGAAAATAAGTGAAACACACGACCATGCATGCCAATCAATAATTGTCCGTGGTAGAACATTCGCGTTCGGCACAATACCGGCACAATGTGGCTCACTGTAAACAGCGTTAAGCGTTTTTTTTTTGTTCTTTTTTTTTTGTAAAAGTATTGTTTATTTCTGTGTTAAAACATTAATTTACACGTATTATTGTTCACAATCGATGTAAAAATTTAGGGCACTAACATCTATTCTATCGTTAACAGAATTAACATAGTCGATGTACAATACAAAGATTTTCAAAATTTCGTTTCGTTTTCTTAGCCCTATGTTCAGAAGTTCTGGTCGAAGCAGATCCTCGATGGACAGCCTTTGCCAGCCGCCGAGTATCGTCGTAGTCCTCTGCTGTATGGAAGCCCATGCGTGCGCCACGCGGGGGCAGGCGCCGAACTTGTGCTGCAATGTTTCAACCGTAGCGTTGCAGTGCAAGCAGCTCTCGCCGGCTACCCATTGGATGATCTTCATCAACCTTCTATGCTCCGTCTTCTCGTTGATCAGCATATACAAGCTGCTCCGATGGCTTGATGACATTTGTTTCGACCCGATATTCGTCTAAATACGTCTCCAGTTTGATCCAGGATATTTTCTCTCGACCCGTGGGGTATCTGTCCGCTCCAGAAGAACACGATGAATTTGGTCGCTGGAGGGGTGTTCTCGGATAAGTGGGGGGAGAAGTGGAATTTGTTGGGCTAATAGTTTAAGGCAAGGAAGATCTGCGGGAGGAGGAATTGCTTGGTTCAGAAGGGACCAAGCATATTCTTGCGGTAAGCGCTTTGTGGTTCGTAAAAGAGCATACATGCGTGTCTGCACTCCGGAGATACGTGCATAGACCATTGCTGACGTATATGCGGTCGAGCCTGGAGACCGAGTTGTGCGTTACGTATGTGGACGAGGGGGTCGTGGGGTACAACTTAACCCAAACATCGTTGAGTTGTAGCTGCTGTACCGTGGCCTGGAGAGCGGGGCTGCTGTTGAAGCCCGACGAGTCACATGATCGTAGCACACAGTTAAAATCTCCGGCAAGTATTAGATGTTCGGTGTTATGCCGAAGATAAAAGGCGACGGTATTATTGAAAAAGCGTTCTCGCTCGGCAAGCATTGCTGTGCCCGACGGTGCATATACGTTTGCCAATGTGGTGTTTTCAACCCGCAGAGCAACGAGCCTGCCATCCAAGCTCTTTTCTATATGGGAAAACCGAATGTATTCTTTTAGCGCTATAGCAGTCCCCCTTCTCGAATGATCGACATTTGCGACAACGTTATAGCCACACACAAAAAATTATCGTTAGTACAACTGAAAAAACCATTGGTAGAATTAAAAGTTTTCGTTGGTTCTTTTTGGTAGAAAGTCTTTAGCTTTCAAAACAAAAGTCAGCTTACTGTCAATTCAAAAGTTGCGTGCATGCTACTTTTAAAAGTTGAAACTTTCAAAACGAATTGTAGTTCTGTCAAATGAAAAGCATGATAGTGTTATAATTAAAAGTGGATTATTTTTGTATTGAATCAAACTTTTGTCATGAAAGTTTGGTATAGTTGAAATAACATGTGCCGTTTTGAATCTATAACATAAGTATTTTCAATTTAAATTCGAGCATTTTCAACATTACAATATCAATTTTGATTTTAAGTATTATTTCTATTAATTATTTTTTTATGAATTAAAAAAAATAACCTCAAATATATTTATTAATATCCGCAAGAATATACGTATTGTAAAATATAACAAATATTATCCATAGGCTCTCAGCGAGTATAAAATCGTTGTCATTGTTCTACTTTATCACAAAAGTTGGATCACCGACGAGGTTGGATGGAATCCGGAACCCAGATGGATTTTTTCCGCCGATTATTGATTCGGACCTATTGATGACAACGGTAGATTTCATCGTCTGGAAATAAAATAAAGTTTACTTGATGCAATAATATTGATAATTAAATACTTACAATTTTAACTGTTGATGTCACCGCGTGCGAACTACATATCCGGCAAAACCAGCAATCCGGCAAGTAAGAATATTGCCTTGAATATCTAACGAATTTTAATTTATGCTTCTAGTTTCGTTCCACACAAAGAACATGATTTGCAAATTTTGACGTCAAGGTTAAAATTAGCGGCAAATCTATGTCCAGTGCTGCCAAAAACGTTGCTATGACAAGGTGTTTTTGACAGTTAAACAGTTTTCATTTTAAAAATATGCACTTTTAAAAATACAAGTTGAAAATGAAAAATAAACTTTCAAAACAAATCAAATACTTTCATTTTGAGAATTTTCGTGCTTAAAACTATCAAAGTCGGGAAACTTTTATTTTGAAAATGTATGGTTTTTATTAATACAATTTTTGTTTTTTGTGTGCAGGAATCGAGAGCTGCTCGTTCTCCACTTCTTGCAGAAACACGATGTCAAGCTCCATCGTTCTGAGAAAAGTTCGGAAGGCGTTGAGTTTTGTTTCGTTGGTGATCGTGTTTATATTGATAGTAGCGATGTTGTAGCTGGCGATTGGATTCACGATTGGTTTTCCAGATCCCGCTCGTCATCGATACCATCTCGTCGCTTTCTGGTTCTAGGGCGTCCTCTAGAGTTTGAGCTGTGCGTTGACATTGTCGAGTCGTCTGTCTCGTTGCCATCGGACTTTCCACCACAGACAAACAGACATAACACATTGAATATTTCTCACTGTAAAACATCGTCGCTAAAACATTACCGCCATCTGTTGAGTACACTCTGGTGGGCACTCACTGAACAGATGGCGGCAGTGTGTAAACGTCAAACGCAAGGGAATTGACTATGCGCGCCACAGGTGGCGGTACTACCAACTACGATACTTTTAAATTGTCCGTTAAATGCTTGTTCGACGAACAACTTGCAAGTGTTATGTCTGTTTGTCTGTGTTTCCACCATCAGGGGACTGTTGACCGGACGTGTTGGACAGCGACCTTTTCTCTGGCGGCGGTTTTGGACCCGATACGGGTATGATGGGGAGAGTGAGTGGAGGAAATTGTGTCTCCGACTGCGTGTTAATTGGTTTTTGTGTAACCGACAACAACTGCTGTTTCGGCTTCTTCGACGGTGGGGGTTTTGTCTGCAACGTTGGCTTTTGGCTCCGTGGCTTCGCATATGGTTTGGTTGGTGTTGGTGCAGGCTGCTTTGTCGCATCGGCATACGACTTCTGCACTAGCAGCTTTTTGTTCTGCACGCAGGTGGCACCGATGTGGATGAAATCCCGGCAGTGTCGGCAAGTTTGACGTTGACCAAAATAGGATAGCAACGTCGATTCCCCGTCGATAGTGACCCACGACTCGATGTTGTGTTTCACGATCATCTTGGCAATCCGAACACCAGTGGAAATGCCCGGAAAGTACAAATCACCTCCGCACATGTGTTCGCGAACTGAGATGACGTCACCGTACGTGGACAGGAATTTGATGATGGCTTCGTCCGATACGTCCTCAGACAGATCATACAGCTTCACCTCCACTGCCCCGTCTTCCATGGTTATTCGCAGGGGAACCATCTTCCCCTCACTCACTTGCACTTCGTGTTTTCTGTCGTGTTCTTCGCACACTTTTTGTGCCAGCTCCAGGTCGACGACCTTCACGAAGGCACACCCGAGACTTCTGCTATACTGTATTCTCAGCACTTCACCGGGCTTTAAACCCAACATGGTTCCAACAAAGTTTTGCACTTTTGCATAGTCCGGTTTTTTCGGCAACATCGCATAATCTATGCGGAATGTGTTGGCAAAACAAGAATGTAAACAAACTTTATGAAAGTCATGCGGGCTCGAGCACTCCTTACTCAGATTTTTTTTGGCGGGATTCATCTGAAGAAGAGCAAAACTATTTGCTAATTGAGAACATTTTCAAGCAGTTATCGATTGACTTGCAAAATGAAATAGATTCAATCCGCAGTACCCAGATACGACCCAATCAAAAAGGACTCCAGACATATTCCGGAGAACTTCGAGGTTTGGGCGTAATTGGTTTTGTAAACAAACACGTAAATCGCCGATTTCTCGCGAATAAAAGGTCAATATTGCAAACAAACTATGCCAAATGATGGAGAACCTCTACCTGTTTGGGCCTGTTCATAAACTACGTAGACAGTTTTTTGGGATTCTTGACCCCCCCCCCCCACCCCCTGCGTAGACAATTCTCGATGAACATTTCAAATGGTCCTATCTGCTTTGATCGATTCTCTTAATCGACTTTCTCTTTTCATAACCACTGCTATGCAAACAGATTTCGCGTTAATTCTACCACATAGTTTGATAAAGGAGGTTCTAATCTAGCGTCCAAAACGTCAAATACAACAGGGAAAGGTTTTGCAGCTGAGTTATTGACGAAAGAGAAAGTCGATGAAGAGAATCGATCAAAGCAGATAGGACCATTTGAAATGTTCATCGAGAATTGTCCATACAAAAAATTTAAAATTTGTATGGGCCGTGGATAATTGTCAACCCCCCCCCCCCCCCTAAACGGTCTACGTAGTTTATGGACAGCCCCTTTGTGGTGTTAGTTTTTTAGAGTGGACTTTAATTCGCGAGAAATAGGCGATTGACCGGTTTGTTTACAAAACCAATTACGCCCTAATCTTGAAGTTCTCCTGATATGCTAGCAGTTCCACATGGTAAGAAAAAACACACCCAAAAGTAAGTTTTTTCCACTCATCTCGGTATACTATCAGGCGCCCAATGCCAAATGACGTCACTTTTTCGCCGGCAATTCGAGTGGGTAGTTTACCCATATTATGGTACGTTTAGTTTTGACCGATCCGGGTGGTTCTACCCAAATTTGGGTATTTTTGAAATAGCGTGTATACACTAATAAAATCGACAATATTGATTTTATAAGAATATCGACGATATCGACGTCAGATCGCCCAATGGTAACACTACTTTGTTTCTAGATTTCCTTTCATAAGGGCCAATGTCGCAAACGTAAACAATGATTATTCTTCCATGATTTTCTCGAGAATGAAAACTAGCCCAAGTAAACCAACACGATCATTGTGTAGAGGCAGAGACTCTCTATGCATTACAATTGGTGACTTACATGGGTTTACGAAAGACGCCATTGTTTACGTTTGCGACATTGGCCCTTATGAATGCTCACTGTCGGTTTGGTTTTTTATCGAACCACCACACCATCAGGACACAGGAATCAAACATCTTTAACAACAGTGGAAGTAAACAAACGTTTTATGTTCTTAAAACATAAAAACATATTCAGTTAACTAGTGTAAAAGCATAGGAGTGCGAAAGTAACCTGGAAAAGCCTTCAACATGCGATGCATCATTCCATCATGCGGCATGGACCTGCACAGGCGGAAAGAACACTGTGGATTCTCGTCCCACAGGTAAGAATGTTTTCATGGCTTTCACAGTGAACCATCATTCGGGATACAAGTTGCTTCTTTTGTGTGATAGATTGCCGAAAAATGCAAAGAAGCGCCTGGCTTGGCTGAAGATGCTCGACCCATCCGGTACCCAGTACTCCATCGTTAATGATGCAAGGGTCTGCTCCCGCCACTTCCTGGAAAGTGACTTCTACGAAGTCGGTTCAAGACGGAAGCTTCATAAAGGCGCTGTGCCATCGCGCCGTCTTGGACCAGCTGCCAAGCTACCTGCGACATATATTCCCGAGCAGTCGCACTGTGTATTTCTGGATGAATCGTCGATGGTATGTCCTGTTCAGCGAAGTGCACCAGTGACGCTTCACAGCACAGCAATAGAGGCCATGCAGGAAGCTGAGTCGTCTACCGGTGAAAAAAGGGTCAAAACCATACGATATGCGGGAGACCTGAGGGACGATGAAGTTCCCTTTATCTCTCCAGAAGAGGCCCAAGAGATTCTTCCCAAAATTTACAAACAACTGCATCGAACCAAGATGCGCCTGAGCTGCTACAAACAGCAAAACTTGCGTCTCCGGAAGAAGGTGGAACAATTGAAGGAAATTATAATTGATTTGAGGGACGAGCACGACGGTGTCAAATCCAAGCGTGACCAGCTGGTGTCTGAACTGAAGATTGAGCCGACGCAGCTGTCCGAGGGCTTTGATGAATAGGAAAATCAAATGGCATCCTGCGCGATGATTTCCGGTAAAACATGATTCCCGCGTGCAAAATTGGACTATTCTATGATAATAAACTCGAACTGAATACATAATAAATTTTTCGGATTGTTGATTTTCATTTATTGTTTAGAATAGTAGTAGTAGGGGAAATGGATGTAATGTCGGCTTAAATGCACCTAATTTGGGCAAATACATAAATTCAGCAATCGACTAAATTTTCAATAGCGACCATTAATATCCATTAGTACCGTCCCAATGACTCGTTCATCTAGATAAAATTGATAAATAGCTGATTTTTAACGATGGGCCCAATCTTAGATTCATAGGCCAACATTAGACCCATTTCCCCTATTTACCGCACAACATTTATTTATTTATTTGGCGCAGCTACTCTTGAAGATGGCTGAAGTGACATCCGTTCCACCATAGGTAGCGCCACTAGGTACTGCGATCCCGGACCGAAGAAATGACTGGTTTGATGGCGGATGCAAACTGTTAGTAGAAATTTACTAAGAGAAGCTAAATAGTTCGCACACGGATTACGTGCCGCAAGCCGATATGTGCAAGGACTTGGACGGTAACCTTCTTACGAACAAGTGTAAGGTGATTGAGATGTGGAAGCAGTACTATGGTACTAATGGTACTATCGTACCACATCGTTGTCTGTGATCGTACTATGACGAACACCTCAACACGGTGATGCAGCAGAAAACGAAGGTAGCACGGCAAAAGACCTTAGAGCACGCGCAGAAGACGACAGGCTACAGGCCCCTGATCTCCCTGAGGAGTGCATGGAAGGTGTCGCATGCCCAATCTACAAAAAGGGCCACAAGTTGGATTGCTACAGCTACCGCGAGATCACACTGCTAAGGGGCCGCCTACAAGGTACTCTCCCAAATTCATCGATTTCAAATCCGCATACGACACAATCGATCGGGATCAGCTATGGCAGATTATGCACGAGTACGGATTTCCGGATAAACTGACGAGATTGATCAAGGCAACGATGGATCGAATGATGTGCGTTGTTTGAGTATCGGGGATACTCGGGAGTCCATTTGAATCTTTAATTAGGTTACGGCAAGGTGATGGATTCTCGTGTCTGCTATTCAACATCGCGTTAGAAGGTGTGATCAGAAGAACTGGTAAAGAAACGAGTGGCACGATCTTCAGGAAGTCCAGCCAGCTTATTGGCTTCGCCGATGACATCGACATTACGGCACGGAACTTTGAGACGATGGCGGAAACATACAAGCTAAGCGGATTGGATGTGCCATCAACGCATCGAAGACGAGGCTGGTAAATGGCTGGACAATGCGTACCATTGATACCCCGCGTATCTGCAGGTATAAAATAGACCCCATTGTGGTCCTTAGCCTATTGTCCAGAAATTCCTATCCCTACCTCCCCGCGGTGCCGGCTGAGGTATGAGTAACCATATAGGAAAGATCGGGTAACCAACTCCGGTGGGACCTTGATCGTATGCTGACAGGGAAGGGGAGGTTTCTCTCTCCGGAGGGCGTAGCCTAAACGACCGTCTGTTCTCCATATAAGGAGCGGCTGATCACCATCCTAGTACCAGCTTGGGACTCTAAACAGAGCTGTACACGATGGTCCTCCGGTGCAGACCCTACAAGCCAACCGTAAAACTTAAAAAGGACAGGAAGCAACGGACCGGAACAATCGGCATTGACCCAGGCAACGAATACGGACTAGCGATTGGAAACTCGGAACATGGAACTGTTAGTATCTCAATTTCTTGGGAAGTAACCGCATTCTTTCCGACTTATTGAGGGTTCGCAAGTTCGACATTGTAGCGCTGCAGGAGGTTTGCTGGAAGGGATCTTCGGAACATACGTATCCAGCTTTCCATGCTCGGTAATGGCGGCCTGTTGGTATGAATAAATGTATCTTCACTGTGCTTTTTGACACTAACTGGAGGGCCTATGTTGTTCCATTTTCTTCTGTTCCTGAGAGATGGAAAGGGAGGGATTAAAATCCGAACCTCCAGATAGTCCCCCCTATTTTGCGAGTCACGTGACTCTCTCTCACCGGTGAGGTGACAATAGTCACCTCGTGTGAGGTGACAATAGTCACCTCGTGTGAGGTGACTCTCCATTTGATTTACATGGAGAGTCACCGGTGACAGAGAGTCACGTGACTCGCAGAATAAGGGGGAGTGTCAAAAAGCACAGTGAAGGATACATTTATTCATACAAACAGGCCACCATTACCGAGCATGAAAGTTGGATAAGCATGGTTATACCAACAATCAATATGAAACTATCGATTTGAAATTGGCTCACTACTTGACTAGCCTATTGGTCCCAAGCAAATCGATTAACGTACCCCATTCTAGTCAAAATTCTAGTACTACACAATGTTTGTTTTGATTCGCTATGAAAGTTTGACAGATAAAATGAGGGGTTAATGGATTTTCCTATGTTTCGAGGGGTGAATCGATTAGCTTGGGACCGAAGATAGTACCAGAGCTGAGCCAAAAAGTAGAGCTCGTTTCTTCGGGACCTACTAGTCTTAGAGTTACCTCTATAGTTATACCAACAATCAATACGAAACCAACGATTTTAAATTGGCTCACTACTTGACTAGCCTATTGATACCAAGCAAACGATTAACGTATCCCATTCTAGTCGAAATTCTAGTACTACGCAATGTTTGTTTTGATTCGCTATAGAGATCTCCAAGCGCAATCTCACGAACACTAAAATCCAACATCCATACATAAAAATAAAGAAGAAGAAGAAACAAAAAGGTATCGCGATATCACAACTACTTAAAAAGGTAGCGCGCGGTCTCACGCACACTTTTGTGCATCTGGAGAACCATAGAGGTAACTCTAAGACCACTGGGTCCCGAAGAAAATCATTATTATTTTTGGCTCACTCAGTACCAGAACAACGGTCCCAAGCAGTCCCAAGCTATTTCACTCACCCCTGCATGTTCTGCATGAATCCACACACCCCTGATGTTATCTGTCAAACTTTCATAGCGAATCAAAACAAACATAGTGTAGTAATAGAATTTCAACTAGAATAGGGTACGTTAATCGTTTGCTTGGGACCAATAGGCTACTAAAGTGGTGAGCCAATTTAAAATCGTTAGTTTCGTATTGATTGTTGGGAGAACTCTATGAAAGTTTGACAGATAAAATGAGGGGTTATTGGTTTTTCCTATGTTTCGAGGGGTGAATCGATTAGCTTGGGACCGAAGATAGTACCAGAGCTGAGCCAAAAAGTTGAGCACGTTATTTTGGGACCTTCTAGTCTTAGAGTTACCTCTATGGTTATACCATTTAGCAGAGCTGCGGCAACACACATGAGCTGGGTACAGGTTTCATCGTGCTGAGTGATATGCAAAAGCGCGTGATTGGGTGGTCGACAACACGAATGTGCAAGTTGAGGATCAAATGCCGTTTCTTCAATGTCAGCATAATAAACGTGCATAGCCCTCACTCAGGAGGTGACGCTGATGATAAAGACGCATGACGTCAAAATCGTAATCGGAGATCTAAACGCTCAGGTTGGCCAGGAGGAGGAATTTAGACCGGTTATCGGAGAGTTCAGCGCTCACCAGTTTACGAACGACAATGGCCTCAGACACATAGGTTAGGTTGGGTTATCGTTAATAGCGAGACTTTCAGCCAGAGGCTGGTTCATCTCTTGACGAATATTGGGGAATCCAGAAGCGGTCCCCCCTAGTGACAGAATTTGAAATGGCGGTGGGCAGCCAGAAGGGACCCTCTAGTTATAGAGTTAATGAGGTGGGGTATCCAGAAGGGACCCACTAATTAAAAGGAGTGGACAGTCCAGAAGAGACCTCCCTAGTAACAGAATATTTGTTTATCAGAGTTGGTTGTCGAGGTGCTGTCGTAGTTAGTATTTAGATGTTCCTGGTTTGGTGCATTTGATCGGCTAATTGTTATGGAGATGTATACAGAGTCCGTTATAGTGGTTGGTCCTGGTTCGATGCAGTGGGTCAGTTATGGTTGGTTCTTGTCAGTGAGTTAGGTCAGATGTTCTTATACATGTTGGCGTCCTTGATGAAACATATAACAGCTGCTTCGGTTGAAGGCTCAGACTCATAGATTTCGGTACACCTGGAGATCACCACTACAGACCGAATCACAAATCGACCACGTTTTGATTGATGGAAGACACTTAAGTATTCTGATGTTTTATGCGGGCAACAAATTACATCGTGATGAAGTTTGATTCTAATGTAACGTAAGGTTCTGTTGTCATTGGATGTATTCTGATGTCAAGTTTTACATCGTCAAGACGTTTGATTCTGATGTTACGTTTGAGGCTAATGTATTTTTATGTACTTGGACGTCACACTGAAGTCTAAATACATTAAGGGTACAGCAATACGCGTTAAAATTTAATGTATTGAAGATGTCTGCTGATGTTTCCTACATTACAATTTCTATTCGGGTCTCGGATATTATCGACGTTGTGACCTATCGCGGCGCAAACATCGATTCGGACCACTACCTTGTAATGGTAAACATGCGTCAAAGACTTTCCGTTGTCAACAACATTCGGTACCGACGCCCACCACGGTACAATCTGGAACGACTCAAGTTACCCGAAGTCACAACTGACTACGCGCAAGACCTTGAAGCAGCGCTGCCGGTTGAGGGAAAGCTGACCGAAGCCCCTCTTGAAGACTGCTGGGATAGTGCCAAAGCAATCATTAACAGCGCAGCAGAAGGTGCCATTGGGTTTGTGGAACGGAATCGACGAAACGATTGGTTTGACGAGTTTAAACGAGAAGAATACAGCGCGGGTGATGATGCTGCAGAAAGGTACCCGTCAGCATGTGGAGCGATATAAACAGAAGCGAACACAGCAACTTCACCTTTTCCGGGATAAGAAGCGTCGCCTGGAAGAGGCAGAGTGCGAAGAAATGGAACCGCTGTATCGTTCACAACAGACCCGGAAGTTCTACAAGAAACTCAACGGATCCCTATGAAAGTTTTACAGATAAAATGAGGGGTTCGTGGATTTTCCTTTGTTTCGAGGGGTGCATCGATTACCTTGGGACCGAAGAGAG